GTCTGAGGCATATAGCTTAAAATTGTCAAAGAGGGTATCCAAACATGAGTCTGTCTGACAATTGCCAGTCATTTACAGTGTTACTCTTTGAAGCACTCAAGTTTATAGTAAATGAATTGCTGTGCTGTTCATATATACAAAAGCTTAAGGTTAGCAGATAATAAAAGATGGTGTGGATGGAGAGAGGAGTTACAAGTGATACTTGCTAGCATGCAAAAATAACAGAAAAATGGGCCAAGAGGAGGATTCCTTATAGCCAGGCAGAAATGTCTGTTAGAATATGTAGGAAAGGATCACATCATCATAGAACTTGAGTGAATATGAACCTAAGGGAAGATTCGTAGCAGTGATTTTATCAGAAGTGAGTCATCTGACAGTTCTAATCAGAATCACCCCCTTTATTATAGCTGAGGTCATCCCTCTGCTTTCTCTGATGTTCCTGTTTCAAGAAGAGGTTGATTCCAGACAAGTGAAACATACCTGAAGATTCTGGTTTGGACATTATAAATGGTCTGACCAGAAAGTGAGCTTCAGATTTTAGAACTCAGTGATGGTGGTAATGTTAGAAATATTTAACAATCTGTGTTCTTTTATAACAGCGATTTGCAAACTTCCACTATACTAACCCTAAAGGAGAGGAAATTGAAAATGCCCTCAGGAGTCTTGAGACATCACTTGAAGTGATATGGGAGTAATAATTTTTTTAAGTCTCTTGGTTTATATTTAGGGAAAGCTTTTGTTCATTTCCGTATCTATTTGTTTTAATGAAAGTTAAATTATTTTACTGATTGTCTCTCTACCCTCACCCTAAATCTTCAAGTACCATTGACAGCCTAGAAAGAGGGTGCTTGTTTTACTCTTAGTAGGCTCCTACCCTTTGGCCTGGAACAGGTACCCCAGTGTGAGAAGTACTGTCTTCCAGGGTTTGTGCTGCCACAAGCATCTGCTGAGGCTTTATAGTTAACACAGGGGGCGACCACATTCTTGTTGACTTTACCACACTTTGTGACTCCCTCACTTTTCATGTTCCTTCTCCCCCTCAGGTTCGGATTTGTTGTTTATCAAACTCCCATGGTTTCTTTCTTTGACTTGATTGGCATGACTTTTTAAGGGCTTGGTCTCTTGATCTGTCCCTCTAGTTTTATTTTTGGAGTTTCTTTTTTTGTCTTGCCAGGGGACTGTAACCAAATATATCTATCTGATTCTAGCAGGTACATATTTTTTCCTCTTGATGCTGCTTAATATTTTATTGGAGGCACAGTTACAGTATGTATGACCTTACAAATGGCAGGCTTAATGTGGTATTGTTTGTTTTGGATCTCTTCTGGGGCTGGGTGGTGGTGGCAAATTGTCATTTCTGTCTCTTGGATGGAAGGAAACAAGCTCAGGTCAGCATATAAGAAAACTAGCTTCAGGTTGCAAATGAGTGCCAGCTTATGTATTGTATTTTCTAGTTAACTCCCAGTTGACTTCCAGTTTTTGCTACAGTCTTGAGTAGAGTTCAGTGCTTCCTGGGAATTTAACAGCAGCAAGGGTTTCCTCTGCAAGATATTTTTATACCTAAATCTTACATGAAAAGGGTTGTTTGCTGACTCACTAATTAACTAGACTTGGTTTATGTTAAGCCTTTGAGTCCTTTGTTACGGACATCATTTGTGCCCAAGTTGCTTTCTCCTCCTGAAACCCCATTGCTGACCTGTAACTAGTCTAATCTTGCTTGATTATATGTTCCCCCTGCCACCCCTCTGTAAAACCATCTTTTGTACCAAATGCTGTTGTATCTTTTGAATGATGTCCATACAAAAATAGCTTTTTACAAGATCTTGTAGATTTTGAAATTTTTTTAACTAACCTGTCATTGTACCTTCATAACCATTCTATGAGAGAGGCATTTATAAAATAACAATCCACCCATGGGGATGGCTGCTATGTATTTTATAAATGAAGAAACAAGAAATGGGTGGACGTGACTTGCAGCTTAGTGGCAAAGCCAGTTTTGACCAGGTCTCTGGGCTTCCAGTCCACCAAAGCTCTAGTAGTGTTTAGAAACATTTTTGGAAGTCTCCAATTTTTCCAAAAGTAGAAAAAATTTATTATGTAGGTTGAGTTGTCTTTAAAGAAGACAGCTCTAAAATATTTCAAGATTGATTGTTTAAAAAAATTATCTTAAATTCAAGGAAGAAACAGTGGATTTTTCTGAATATCCTACTAGGACCTGTCCCTATATTAGACAGATTAAAGATGTTTGCTTCCTAAGAACAAAGCAGGCTGAATCAGAAAAGAGATCAGTGAGTGGCTAAGTTTTTATTTTTCTCCTTAGTTCTAGGGATAGTATTTTACCCCCTTGAAATATTGTGAGAAGGTCATGGGTAGAAGGATCACACCTGTGGTTCCTAATAGGAATTTCTGTTTCCGTGAGGTTTCTCAAAAGTAGAATCAAGGTCCTCTAGCAATCGTAAGAGTTTTTAAACACCTGTAGAAATGGTACATTTGCATAAAGCAAAGCTGTAGAACTTAAAATGTCCAACGTCTTTACTTTTGGCTGGAATTTTACAAGTCTGATTAGAAGCTCTGCGTGGCAGCAATGGGCATGTTAATTATATTTGAAAATTGCCGTTTGTAGACAAGGAGTCCATGAGGAGAGAAAATGAAGTGAATGTTCTTGAACTGTACTGCAGTGATGGGGAATGTCCACGTGGTGGCACCAAGACTTTGTTTAACTGTTGGATTCCTAGCTAGCACCTGGAATACCTGAAGCCCCTTTTACCTTCTCCTTCTTCGCAAACTATGGCTCAGCTGCATCTGTGCCCTGAATTCTGGTCCCCAGCTTCCCCTGAATCCCCTTAGTGCTGTTATTTGGGCTTTGTATTGGCACCTAACCACATTCTACCTGTAGTGAAAGCTGTAAGTCTTGGTTCCCACTCTAGGTGATAAGTTTTTTGAGTGGAGGCACCAGCTGCATCTACTTGAAAGCATATTCTTTTCTGTATTTCCAGCAATGCCAGGCACAGGACCTCTGAGTTGCATTGTTGAATTAACATCTTTTGGTGATTTGTGAGTTAATTGTGGACTTCCATAGGGTTCTCCCGCAGTGTATTTTTTGCTTTGAAGAGTATGTTTATCTTCCCAGGTGCATAAATGAATTTTTGGGGTGAAATGGAGATTTTATGTCTGTAGTTTGTATAGTTTCATAGACTTTACACCACACCCTGACCAACCACTTTCAGTAACTTTGAAGACAGTTGGTTATGGAAATCATTCCCGTGCATGGGTCTTCCCTGAAGCTCTGCAGTTGGTCTTCGCAGTGGGACCTTCATGTGTGACAGACAGCAGATGGTCATGGAGTCCCCAGTCTGTGTGCCATGTAGGTAGGAGCTTGAAAAAAGCCGAAAAGAAACTTCCTTTGTAACTGTCGTGTCTCTGCCTTATTTGGGCTCCCAAGAAGGAATCTTGCTGCAGGCAGAGCCGTCTGATCGGAAAAGAAAACTGACTCTTACCAGGGAAGGGCCCGGGAGGGGCAGTAATACCAATGAACATATTTTAGTTGGTTTATGTCAGTTATTGGGGACCATTAAGTAAATAGATGTTGAGTATTTTCTTTTCCAAAAAAGGCTTTTTGTTTTGTTTTGTTTTGTTTTGAGATGGAGTTTCACTCTTGTTGCCCAGGCTGGAGTGCAATGTTACAGTCGCGGCTCACTGCAACCTCCACCTCCTGGGTTCAAGCGATTCTCTTGCGTCAGCCTCCCGAGTAGCTGGGTTTACAGGTTTGTGCCACCATGCCCAGCTAATTTTGTATTTTTAGTAGAGATGGGGTTTCTCCATATTGGTCAGGCTGGTCTCAAACTCCCAACCTCAGGGGATCTGCCTGCCTTGGCCTCCCAAAGTGCTGGGATTACAGACGTGAGCCACCGCACCTAGCCGAGATGCCAGTTGGAAGGAAATTTGAAAAGGTTTGGTAATAATGTTATTTCATTAATTTCAGCCAAACCACACAACTAATTTATCTTATCTAGGCCTGACCCTGGCTTCTTCATTGTGTGGATACCTTTCCAAAGTGTTTGATATGACAACATATTTAGAAGTTCTTTGATCACAAGCCCAAGGATGTGCAAAACTCAGAGCAAACAGCATTTACATTTATGTAATTTAATTTTAAAAATTAGCCCTAATTGAGGTGATCCTGGAGATGGTAATGTTGACTTGACACCTGGCTGCTTCTCTAAGGGCTATTTAGTTCTCTAGTGAATTTCATAAACTAAGGCTATGTTTTTATTTCTAGAACTGGGAGTACCCAAGCTAGCAGTTTTGACCTTTGAATGTTTGGAGCACCAGAAGTTCTGATTATGAGATGAAGAGAAAATGACAGCTTTTCTTGTCTATTAAGAAACCAGGACTCACTCATGGCATTCCTTTGTACTTAGTCCTACAAACAGAATGGAGACTGTGACCCCTGATCTTTGGGTTGGCATTATTTTATTTTTCGAGATGGAGTCTTGCTCCGTCAGCCAGACTGGAGTGCAGTGGTGCAATCTCGGCTCACTCCAACCTCCCCCTCCTGGGTTCAAGCAATTCTCCGGCTTTAGCCTCCCAAGTAGCTGGGATTACAGGTGCCTGCCACCATGCCCAGCTAATTTTTGTGTTTCTTTTTTAGTAGAGATGGGCTTTCACCATGTTGGCCAGGCTGGTCTTGAACTTCTGACCTCAAGTGATCTGCCCGCCTTGGCCTCCCAAAGTGCTGGGATTACAGGTATGAGCCACCGTGCCTCACCTGGGGTTATATTATTTTAAAGAATGTGATCAGAATTGACCTGTTAGATACTCATCTTCTATGTGAATCTCTGTATCAGTTTATTATGTTTGGCAGTTGAATGTAAATTCATTAGAACAGAGTGGGATGACTTATAAGTACATTTCAGCAATGCGTTAAATAAGTTTTTCAGAAAAAATTTGCGAACTGTTAGCACAAATTGGCATCACTAATATGGCTGCTTTGTTTTTAGGTGATTGGCGAGGACAACGTGGCAGTCCCCTCACACCTTTATAAGGTAATCCTGGCCCGCAGAAGCTCAGTATCTACCGAACCACTGGCACTAGGGGCCTTTGTGGTACCTAATGAAGCCATCGGCTTCCAGCCTCAGTTAACTGAATTCCAAGTGAGCCTCCAGGACCTAGAGAAGTTGTCAGGACTGGTGTTTTTTCCTCATTTGGATAGAACTAGAGATATCCGGAATATCTGCTCTGTGGACACCTGTAAGCTTCTGGATTTCCAGGAGTTCACCTTGTACTTGAGTACAAGAAAGATTGAAGGAGCCCGATCAGTGCTCAGACTGGAAAAGATCATGGAAAACTTGAAGAATGCAGGGATTGAACCAGATGATTACTTCATGAGTCGCTATGAGAAGAAGCTAGAGGAACTCAAAGCTAAGGAGCAGTCAGGAACCTAGACAAGAAAGCCATCCTTGTTTTTATCTCAAGATGTGTCATACCGTCTGTAATGAAGCAAGCATGCCCTCTTTAGGCTAACATAGTTTAGTGGCTTTGCTTTTTGCTTTTTAAAAAATTTTTCTCTTTAAGAGATGTCTCGCTGTGTCATCCAGGCTGGAGTGCAGTGGTGGAATCATAGCTCCCTATAGACTCGAACTTCTGGGCTTAAGCAATCCTCCTGCCTCTGCCCCCGAGCAGCTGAGACTACAGGCACACACCATCACCCTCAGCTACTAGTGGCTTTGCTCTAAAGAAACAAATGGAATCCTAAATTTACGACTAAAAATTCTCCCAAAAGATGAAAGATCACAGTGTTTTTGTTAGTATTATATTTGACTCAGGAACTAATGATTAAGGGAGCTTTGACACCTGCAGATGGAGGACTGATCTTGTGTCAAGTTAACAGGAACACTGCCCACAGATGACACTGCATTTGTATCCCGCTGGATGTAGAGTATTGGGAAGGCATTTGTTCAGTTTCATACCTCCAAACCATGCATTGTCTTTGATGTATCTGCCCAGCCTTCTCAGAACTCAGTGTTGTACATTTTTCCCCCTAGGACCTGAATTGGTCTTGGAGGTGGCTTTTAGAAATCATCTATGTAGTTCCTGTCCACATGGCACTGTATATTTGTTTCTTCTTTCTCCTCTCATGAATCTGCTCTTTTTTCTACTTCAGTCTATGTAGAAGTACTCAGCAACTAGTTTCTGCTGACTAGATTTATTCTATATACTAGGCTCAGTGCTTTACATGTGTTGTCTCACAATGACCCTCTGAGGTAAATACCACTATCCCCATTTTACCTGAGAGAAAATTGACGCTTAGAGAGCTTAGTGTCTTACCCGAGTTTCACTTTTCCAAAGTAGTCATCCACAAAGTATGAGGCAGACAGATCTAAGAGAAGAAAGACAGCTGAGGTTGATTCAGATTTTTTCTGACATGGATGGTGGCTTTTTACTCAGAAATATATACCTATTTCCATGAGTATTTGTGGGCCCAAGGCATGCTTGGTGAGAAGAGTCTGGTTTCTCATCTGCTATGCAAGCCAAAGGGACTTTAATGTTCTTTGAACTGAACCCTCCTTAGCTCTTTGGAAAGAGACAGTCAGGAGTATTTGGGAATTAGAGGGCAATATTTTGTGGGGTTTATTAGAGCCCATGCTTGCTTCCAGAGATGCAGTTCTTTTAGTGAGATACTGCCAAACTGATGTGTTCTTGCTTTCCAGGTGAGCTTTTTGTTCTTAAGATTAAGAAACCTAAGAAGGGTCTATGACCAGGCATGGTGGCTCAGGCCCGTAATCTCAGCACTTTGGGAAATCAAGGTGGGTGGATTGCTTGAGCCCAGGAGTTTGAGACTAGCCTGAGCAATATAATGAAACCCTGTCTTTTCAAAAAAATACAAAAATTAGCTGGGCGTGGTGGTGCACACCTGTAGTCCCAGCTACTCGGGAGACTGAGATGGGAGGATTGCTTGAGCCTGGCAGGTCGAGGCTGCGATGGGACATGGTCATGCCACTGGACTCCAGCCTGGGCCGCAGAGGGAGACCCTGTCTCAAAAAAAAAAAAAAAAAAAAAAAAAAAGAGAAAGATCTGTCCACAAAATCACCAGCTTATTATTTGCTTCCTCTGTGCCTGCTTGTCTAGCATAGTGGGCCAAAGGTCCAAAGGCATTTAGCATTCCTGAGGGAAATTGTGGCTGTTTTTCTGAGCCAGATCTCTTGATTTGGGTTTATCTGGAGTCCTTTCGTGGACTATCCTGAGCATTGTCAGTAAAATGTCTTGGGGCATAAAAGCTTGTCTGAATCTGTCAGGCCATTCCGAGTGGTATTACAAGAAAGATTATTGTGGTGTGTTTGTTCTAAGAGAAGTGCCAAGGCTTTAAGATAAAGATAAGATAATAATGATTGACCTTGTTCTGCTCTTTTATTTGGGTAAAAAAGAAAAGTTGAGGGGTCAGAACACAGTAGCCTGATTCGTACCATTCTGTTTTATCACACTGTTCCCCATTAGCTTGTGCCAGTTCTCCTCGGGGATGTAGAGCCAAAATGTCACTGTGACCAAACAATCTGTTATTTTTTCTCCTCAATGGAGAGGTGATGGTGTGGCCTGGGTGTTTCTCCAGGAGTGTAAGTGGGCTGCTGCCCCACTGGGTCCTAGGGATAAGTTCTAGGTACCTACTGCCCATCTCTAGAGGCGGGTCCCCAACTTCCTTCCCCTGTTGCTATGCTCTGTTCTGCCAACCTGCATTGCCAGCAGCCTTGGAGTTACTTCTCATGCTCTTCTAGCTCCTGCCTCTTCACCTAGATGGTAGAATCTCTAATTTTAGATCAATGAAGTTTTTTTTCCCCCCGGGGCATTCCTGAGTTTATTTGGGGCACACCCAAGCGAAGGCCTTGCACCTAGAAGAAGGTGTTGGGTCTCTTGGTGGCGAAGCATGGCTTGTGCTGATAGTGTAGGACCCAGTGGGGCAGCAGGAACTTGATCTTGGAGTCATGGAACTGCTTGACAGCTGGCCGGTGGCACTTGCTGGCTGTGGTCTTCTCCACCTTCATGGTCTGGATGGAGTGGGCCTAGGCATGGTGCCAGGCGCCCATGTCTCGGTAGCAATGGATGACAGCACCTGCAGTGGTCAGGTCCCTGTATTCCCGGCACATGGGTGCTGCTCAGGGTGTCATAGCGCAGCCAGATGCCGAAGTTCTTCACCCACAGGGGGCATTTCTCAAACACCTGCCCACAGTAACGATCTACCCTGAAGACTTCATCTTTAACTGAGATACCAAGTACCAGAAGCAGGACTTGGCAATGACATGATTAGATGCAAAGATTTGCATGTGGTAGAGGGTTGGTGTGTGGCATTTGGGGGTGGGCAGGCAGCGACCCACCACCTTGTACTCTCATAGTGTGCCCGAGGCCTTCATGGCATCCTCTCCACCCTCGCCGCCACCTGCAAAAGGACAGATCAATACAGTTTCTTAGGTTTTTATTTATTTTGAAAGATGTTGCCTGGTCATTGTGAAAAATGGAGGTAAGAGGTTGTAATACAAAGTTGCAGTCTGCCAGTCCTCATTTTTATTTATATTTATTTATTTATGTGATTCACGAATCCGGCAGCCTTTGGAAAAGTTTGTTAGTGTGTAACAATGGTGTTTGAATTGTCTCAATGCTTTCATTAAGAGTTCCCCCAAACAAACTTGAAATGTAAATAGTTGGTTAGAGGTTAACATTTTCCTCCTGTCATACTGCTTCAGCCCTCAGTGTGACTGTTGATCATCCTGGACTCAGATGCAGCATAGGCTGAGCCTGAGATTCTGCCTGTCTGTTCTCTTTTCCCTCAGTCCCTGGTCTGAGGGAAAGCAGCTGAGGAGGAAGTGCAGTCCGGACAGGCTCTTCTGCTGGAAACCTACATCCCAAGTTTCTCTCCGCCCTCAGTTATATCTTTATTGTGAAATTCCAAACTCTTTGGTCTCTGAATTAAGGCTCTTGCACCAATATTGTTGTGTGTAGCAATACAACAAATTGCAAAGGTTAGGAGAATGGATGTCAGCCCTTAATTAAATACCTGTGAATATTTCTGCCCCTTGCACCTTGACCTTCAAGCAACGGAAAACTGTCTTTCCTTCAGACCTTTGATTAGAGCTCTAGGCTGAGTTCTATACTTGGAATGACTCTGAGTGTTACCATGTCACCTACTTGTGTCCCCTGGCCTCATCCTCGTGAGTACATAAGTATCATTGATATCACCTCCATGAATCGCAAACTTCCCATTAGCAGCCCATCCCTGAACCTAACCCTGCACCCAGGGTGCTGTTTGTTCCCTGCCTGCCCCTTCATACCTTTACCCCGTGTGTCCTTCCCCATCCTGGCACACCTCCATGTGCCTCCTGTATCCTCACTATAGTTCATTCTGGTGGATTTGGTCAGGGCTGGGCTCACATCAGGCATGAAACTCCTGCTCCTGCTTGTCTCCAGGCCTAGCCTCCATCTGGCATGCTTTCCTGGGTGTCATCATTCTTGGAGATTGTCTATCAGGGATCTGGTATTCCTTTTTCTAGTCTAGCCCCACCTTCAGGGAGCAAACCTCAGGTCATTAGGGCCAAGCAAGATGGACTGCATTGATACGGGCCCCATGCAATTCAGGACAGTGGGGGTGCCCATGGGCTTCTCTTTCCTACTCCTGAACATGCCAATTGTGGCAAGGGGTGGACTGCTCCTGAGTGCGCCAAGTACCTCTAGGGGTCACTGTGGCCTAGTGTCACTGCAAGACTTAGTCTCAGCTGTGGCACCACCCCAGCCAGTATGGAATTTACCACACCCCAGTGTGGCTCTGTAAGCCACAGAGAACTCAGCCTCAGACATCAGGCACCAGGCACTCAGGCTGGATGGAATAGCAGAGGTTATCTTGTCCAGTGGGTCTCATGTTTGGCTCACACCAGAATAGCCTCACAGCTTAATGTTCCCCCAAACTTTGAGAAATTTCAAACCCACAGAACAGTTGAAAGAAGAGTGTAATGATTGCCCCTCCCCCCAATTTTTTCTTGTTTGCTTTCTCTGTTTTCCAAATTATTAAAAGCAATTTGCTGTTTTTTTAATGGTAAATTATAGACATGACACTTACCTTTTTAATACTTCAGCTTGTATTACCCAAGAATAAGAACATTCCCCTATAATTCTAAAATATCACATCTAAGAAAATTACCAGAATTCAATATCATCTAATAAACAATTCCTATTAAAACTGGCCCAGGCATTCCAAAATGTCATTTATACATTTTTTTCCCTAAATACAGGTTTCAGTTGAAGCTCATATTGTTATAACTAGTCTCAATCTAGAATAATCTGCCTCAAAAAATAGATTCTCTAACTTTTCTTGAGGTTTTAATTCTGTAGATTTGATGTGAGGCTAGAATCAGTATTTTCTTTTCTTTTTTTTGGGAGAGTCTCGCTCTGTCAGCCAGGCTGGAGTGCAGTGGCGTGATCTCAGCATGCTGCCACTTGTGCTACCTGGGCTTAAGCGATTCTCCTGTCTCAGCCTCCTGAGTAGCTGGAACTATAGGCGAGTGCCACCACACCTGCCTAATTTATATATTTTTAGTAGAGATGGGATTTCACCATGTTGGCCAAGCTGGTCTTGAACTGGCCTCAAGTGATCTGCCCACCTTGGCCTCCCAAAGTACTGGGATTACAGGCGTGAGCCACTGCGCCCGGCCTGGAATTTGTATTTTCTAAACAAGCAACACTGGTGATTCTGCTGATCAACCAGGGTTTGGAGCCAGACTGGCCCCCTACTATACCTCCACCCTCTCCCAATACAGGAGTCCTTTGTCAGATAAGTGGTCTTTGAGCTTCCAAATACCTCTAAGGGAGTATGTTCTCCTATCCCTTTGGGTCTGCAGCTACCAGCTATGCAATTTTCTTTGTAGTAGGTCTTCATAAGATGAAGTTGAAACCTTCCCTTGTGATTCCTACCCATCAATGACAGGCCCAAACTGCCATTCCAGGCCACACAAAACTGACTGACACCTCCTTTCACCTGATAGTCCTTTCGAGATATGCAGCTTATAAAGACATGTAGCATCTCATGTCGTGCTCAGGTGCTCATGAATTTGAGACCCTTCACCGTCATGATTTTATATGCCGTCATGATGTGGCAGCCACATCTGAGCAAAGCATTCAGGGTGCAGTGAGAGCAGTGCTGAACTGAGTCCAGGGGATTGACCACTCTTCTCAGGGACGCTCCACTTTTCACACTA